ATAGTCGTAATTCTTATAAGTGATAATGAGTAAAAATTACGTTGGTTAATGGTGGTTCTTGCTTGAATACTTTTTTTAGACTTTGAGAATGTTACTTCTCTAGTCCTATTTATAGGACAGAGAAAGAAGGTATTTTTTTATCCTATTTATAGGGTACTGAGAGAAATTTTTTTATATGGATGTATAATTTTACCCCTCATTTATTATTGTGTTAACTTTGTTTATACAAGGTATAATGTATATTAAATAGGAATAAAGTTGAAAATTCATTAAATTTTAAATGAAAGTTAATAAAATTTAAAGTTTTTTTTTGTCTGTGTGAAACATGTTGGAAGTGCCTTATAAATAGGATCAAAGAAGTATGTTTGGACATATATAATTACTAAAAAGCAACACAGGTTAATAGGATAAATATAATTTAATATAAGTCTCATAAGCAGTAATTATCATTATTATTATTTAAATATAATTTTAAGGTAGATCGGTGAATTTCTAATTACTAAACTTCTATGGGGATTTTCCATTCCAAGTACAAAAGCTACTATGACGCGTTTAAAAAAGGTTGGATTATATAGTTTTATAAAGAAATTGCCAATCAGGTAAAAATAAATAATAATAATAAAGAAATTGCCAAGAATGTTCGGCGGCTCCATCAGTAATTGATTTGGGTAGGCGACACGCGGAAATGAATTATATGTCGGATTATTTTGACCGAATTAATTATATTTATATATTGTTTGAATAATGATTTTTGTTTGTTGATGGGGACTGGAGAGTCTTTTGATTTAATTCCAAACCCGTGGCCCCAAGTACAGAGTGAGATGACCACGGCAATAAAGTAATGCAGAATGCAACAATAATAAAGACTTGTTTTATTAGATGAGGCCGGTTTCGCGTGACGTCATTGAGCTATATGTAAAACTAAATCTTTAAATATCCTGTTAAAAAGTAATTACAGAATATTAAAATTAAAAGAATAAAAGTTCTGTAAAGTGTGCTTTGGTTATTAACTAGCTAATTAAAAAATTAGTGCGTTTATAGTCCAAATAACCTTTTGACTAAACGATGCACCCTTCACTAGGCGCATATTGGGTGAATGTAATAATGGAATTGAAGATTTGAGGGGAATAATTTCAAAGATCATTTACATATTCCTCTGGTTCTATTTATTAGATACCAAAACCATTTTACTTAATTTTATTTCTAAGTCATATCATTTAATATCTAGCATGAATGTATATAACTATCCTATAGATTATTACTTTCTTAAAAATATATATATATCAAATAAAAGTAAAGTTAGATAATTATTAATTTCAAAACATAGTTAACGTAATCTAAGTTTTTTTTTTCCAGTGAAATATAAAAGATTACTTATAAATACGGAAAATAAAAGTGCTAGATGGTAATGATTGCAATAGCCAATAGATACAGAAAAATTAATATCTGTTGTGACATTAATATATTAATAAAATCGAGCTCTTCATGAAATGACGAATATTCAATAGATAGTGCTCACCACCGGGATAGGAAATTTCTTCCTCCTTGTGCTCTGAGATGTTAGGTCACTGGGTTCCCATTTAACGATATTCTTCAAAGGGAAGCAAACACATTTTGGATTTTTATTTATTAAATTTTAATTCACACTAATCATATGCATCATTTTTACTACTTTAACGCACACGAAAACTCATAAAATAAATCATTTGTAACAGTGAAAAGAAGCTTGATAAATTATAAAATACATTATAGCGTAGTAAATTTGATTTCATAGTTGTTATATATTTACGTCACATTTTTATATATTATATGGATATTTACGTTCACTTTTCCTCTTTACAAATTATTTTCTTTTCAAATTTTATGTCATTTATATATAAAAATATTTTAAAGTTTACCTTTATGGTCAGCCGATGATGGGGAGAACCGATCAGACCTGGAACTACAAGTACTAATTATTTAAGATTATTGTGATACCTAATAAATCGTTGAACGATCAGCCTCTAGTATGTTTAAGAATTAAAAAAAGAAAAAGAGACACAGAAAAAGATAGCAATCAGCAAATGAAAGGTTTAGTTGAACAATGAAGTTTAATGCAATGAGGACAGTACAGCACGCCATAGAAGCTGTATATCTCAACAGCTGAAAGACACGTGTCGTTCTTTCTCATTTTTCCTTCTTGTCTATCCTCTGTTCATCTGCTGCTCTGTTTCGGGCAGATACCTTCAACTGCACGTTGCGCAATCTATTTTTCTCTTTTTCAATTAGAAGTCAACAATTTAGGGCTTGTTTAGAGCTCCATTCAAAACGAACTTTTAAATAAAGTAAGTTGAGACAAAATTCTACTCATATATTTATCTTGTATTCTATAAATCACATTTAAAAAGCTATTTATAAGTGAATCCAAAAAAATCTTTAATCGCCTAACACGTGAATGTAGGATTTGAAGTCATATAATCGAGACGAGACTTAATTATGCTACTCATGCGCTGAAATTTTTTCACCAAAATGCATAGATATTCATCTTTTTTTCTCAAAGCTTTGGCTTTCTTTTTTTGCCACTCGTTTCATTGTAATTTTAGTTCACAGAAACAGACAAGCTAGTGAATTCCAGACGGCAAAACAAAGGTCAATTATTGAGATTAACAGCATTTAATAGACAAATCCAGTAATTTTGCTTCCAGTTGCTTTCTGGTGTATTGTAAACAAGGATAGCCGTTGTTGTTTTGGAAAGATGCATGGAATATTATGACTCAATGCTTTCTGTTAGACCCAATCCTTACAGGATTTGCTGCAGGCTCATAAAATATACGTCAATTTTATGTTAACCAAACTAATTACAATTATTATTTAATATCATTGCGCATAATTTATGCAAATGCATTCTGACGCTGATTTCAATGAAGCTTGAATTCGACATACTTTTCATAAAAATAATATCAAATACTGAATATTTTTAAAATATAATTTTTCAAATACTAATATTTTTCGTTTTCATTTTCATTAGGCCCGTTAGTATAATATTATTTTAAGATATATTTTAAAATAATATTGTCGAAATTTTTTCCATCAATTTATTCATTAATATAATATAAAAGGTATGTGAAATGAATAAAACATATTCATGGTGCTCAGTAGCTCAAATCGTTCTAAACCCTAAAAAATTTAGTCATTTTTACGATTATTTCCATAACAATAATAGTAGTAGTATGATGAAGATGATGATGATAAGGAGGAGGAGGAGTCTTTTTTTTTTTGGGTAATAAGAGCCAAATTTATTTAATTTATTAGGATAAACCGGTACATATTACTTGGGCCTCAATGCAACCAATCTTCCGAAACAGGAAGAGGGAAAAAAACCAAAGAAGCTCAGGTGAAAGCAGAGACTTAAATTCAACTGGAGGAGGAGGTTGAGTCAAGTGGTTGTTAGGAGTTGACTTGAAAAGGGAAAAGGAAAGCAGCTGAATGTTAGGATAGCACACTGTTTTAAATGTTAAGCCATTAAAAGAAAGCAAAAACTCAATTTAAATTCCTTCCAATCGTGTTATTCGGGGGAGACCTTGACTTATAGGGTATGTCTGGTGTAGACACGCAATTATTGTTCACATCATTAGGAAGACCTTGAGTTATAAATAAGGAGGCCAGGGTTGTTCATCTCATGTACTTGTTTGAGTTTCACGTTGCATGAGCTAGCCGCAATAATGACGAGTGTGAGTTATCTAACCCTTGTGAAACTACAGCAACCAATCATCATACTCATGATGCTGCACTTGCGGGGTGAGTTGTTCATGACAGGGTCATGTTGGAGAATGGGAGATGCCAACGCTAGTTGCCTGCACAAGGAAAGACGAGCTCTTCTTAGCATGAAGAATGCCTTTGTGGATGATTATGGTTGTCTGTCTTAATGGGGCTCTTCTCCAGATTGTTGCGATTGGAGTGGTGTTCTTTGTAATCCTCACACTGGCCACGTTGAGATGCTCGATCTTTATGGTGGTGGGTGGCCCTCGCAGCTTTTAAGGGGTGAGATTAGCCCATCATTGATGGACTTGCAAAACTTAAACTATTTGAATCTCAGTGCCAATGATTTCAATGGGAGTCAAATCCCAAAATTTTTTGGTTCTCTCACCAAATTACGATACCTTGATCTATCTGGTTCTTCTTTTGGTGAAAAAATACCAACTGAACTTTGCAAGCTTTCAAACTTGTTGGTTCTAGATCTTTCCTCCAACTCTTTAGTTGGTAGTATACCTTTCCATCTTGCGAACCTTTCAAGGGGTGAGATTAGCCCATCATTGATGGACTTGCAAAACTTAAACTATTTGAATCTCAGTGCCAATGATTTCAATGGGAGTCAAATCCCAAAATTTTTTGGTTCTCTCACCAAATTACGATACCTTGATCTATCTGGTTCTTCTTTTGGTGAAAAAATACCAACTGAACTTTGCAAGCTTTCAAACTTGTTGGTTCTAGATCTTTCCTCCAACTCTTTAGTTGGTAGTATACCTTTCCATCTTGCGAACCTTTCAAGTCTGCAAGAGCTCTATCTAGTTGGGAATGATTTAGTGGGAAACATTCCTAGCCAACTTGGTAATCTTTCAAGCTTGGAGACACTCTAGATTGGCAACAATGATGGTTTGAAAATTGATGACAAGAGTTTCACTGCCATTGAGTGGCTTTCCAATCTTCGGTCGTTAACTTTGCTTGATTTAAGCTATGTTTCCAATCTTAATTACTCTGACAACTTGTTGCCAATTATTGGAAAGCTTCCAAACCTGAGAAGGCTATGGCTTGAAAATTGTAGCCTGACAGACAATAATATTCCATCAACTCCTCCATCCCATTTGAATTTTTCAGCATCTCTCTCAACTCTTAATCTCAATGACAACAAGCTGACATCATCATTATTCCCTTGGTTGTTCAATCTAAGCTCTAATCTCATACGCCTTTCTCTGTCCAACAATCACTTAGGTGGTCCCATTCCAGATGATTTTGGAAAAAACATGAACTCTTTAGTGTCTCTTGACCTTTCCTATAATGACCTAAATGGAACAGTGAGTGACATCTATTTTGATAATCTCACCAAGTTACAATACTTGGACTTATCTGATAATTTCTTGACCCTCAAATTCAGCACCGATTGGATTCCTCCATTTCAATTACAGTGGTTACGGTTATTTCACTGTAAGTTGGGCCCTGGATTCCCTAGATGGCTTCGGACTCAAAATAATTTACGATCTTTATATGTTTCTCATGCTGAAATCAATGATTCTGTACCAAAGTGGTTTTGGAGACTTGTAAAGGGAGCAAATACTCTTAAAATAGAATCGAACAATCTCACAGGTGTAATTCCGGATCTGACACTTGAATTGAATGTTCCTGACATATCATTGGCTTCCAATCAAATTAAAGGCTCTGTTCCAGAGTTCCTACTAAAGAGCATAATTTTAGACATTTCAGAAAATCTAATTTCAAAATTTGTTCATTCATGTGCCAAGGGAAGGAGTGCAATTGTTGAAAATTTGGCATTTTTAAATCTCTCAAGCAACAACTTATCAGGGGCACTTCTTGGTTGTTGGGATCATCTCAAATCATTACAGATTCTTGACTTATCCAATAATCAACTCTCAGGAAGGATTCCTAACTTTATAGGGTCCTTAAGTCAACTAAAGCAGTTAGTTCTACGAAACAATTGCTTCAGCGGTGGACTGCCTTCCTTCGAAAATGCAACTAAACTGGGAATGTTAGATTTGGAAAAAAATGACTTGTCAGGACCAATACCACCTTCATGGACAAGAGACAATCTCAAAGAGTTGGAAACTGTTAGCCTACGAATGAATAAATTAGATGGAAAGTTGCCCTTGCATTTATGTTATTTACCGAAGGCCAGGGTTTTAGATCTCTCTTTTAACAAGTTTACTAGACCAATACCTAGTTGTCTCGACAAGCTGGTTGCAATGGCTCAGAAATATGTTCCAAATGTTTACGACGATGTTATCAGCGTCTCTGAGAACGGAACAGTTCAAGTAGATAGAATATTTTATTGGAAGTTGCCTATGGTGTGGAAAGGAAGAGAATTGGTTTACAATGACCACTATGGGCTTATGAACATTGATCTCTCTCACAATCAATTGGAGGGGGAAATGCCAACAGGAATTGTCAAATTGGTTGAGTTAAGATTCCTGAATCTATCGTCAAATAGGCTGAGTGGAAAAATCATTTTAGAGATAGGACAACTAAAATCTCTAGAAGTTCTGGATCTATCGAGAAATCACTTTGATGGAGAAATTCCTTCAACTCTTGCTGAAATATCTTCACTCAGTGTTTTGGATTTATCAAACAACAACTTGTCAGGAAAAATTCCAACAGGAACACAATTGCAATCTTTTGAGCCCTACTGCTATGAAGGAAATCCTTACCTCTGTGGGAGGCCATTGGACAAGCTGTGTCCTTCTGAAGAACATCCATTAGGGAATGTGACACAAGCCAACCAAGATGTTGATGAAAACGATTCTTTCATGAAAGGATTCTACGAAAGCTTGGGCGTGGGATTTGCTATTGGATTTTGGATAGTGTTTGGATCACTGTTAGCTACTCGATCATGGAGGCATGCCTACTTCAATTTCATAGCGAAGGTGTCAGACTCTATCTATGTGTCAACATTGCTTCTGGTGGCAAGATGGCTCAGGTGGCTCCGCAATTAAAAGGTAATATTTTCTTAATTACAGTTGTTATCTATCAACAAAAGATTTACATTACTCATGTGTTTCTTTCTCTGTTATATCTCAATTGTAAGATTGAATTGTTTTGTTGCTGATTGTCATCGTATCAGCTGGAGCTTGGCATTTTGGGGTTTATCTGCAACAGCCCAAACACAACTCTTGCTTATCAGATTCTGTAGCAAGTGTCACATGATGGTCTGTGCAAGTGGGCATATAGTGTGGTAGAAATTAATAGAAGGCAAGAAGAATAAGAAATTTTATTGTATCATCCTCTTTTCTTACTTCTTTAGTTTTGGGATCGGACTATGTATTCTGTATTGGGCCTGTAATATTATTGCAATCTTTATTAGCATGAATCTGTTTTTAGTTTGGTTGTGTTATGAATTTCATTATCGTACTTCGAGTATTAAAAAATTATGGCAAATTATAACGGATTCATGAGCAGAACAAAATGCTGCCACCAAATTTTTGGGTGATATCGACATTCTCAATTATTTACAGTTATTACATGCAATAATCTATGAATTTGGAAAAGTCCGCAAAAGGGGGTTGTGCTCGCAAAAAGATTTTCATGTGAGTCATCGGCCATTAGATATAAGCCTTGTTCTACTAAGCAGAGTCATTCACAAGCGATTCATGAGTTGTGAAACTAACTCTTATGATAATAAGAAGTCGCATTTCCCTCCTAACGCTTGACTTTTTTATTTTATCTTTGAAAATTTGAAGATTCCTCATTGTAATGCTGCCAAATAGATATTTGCATAATCAATCATCATGCTAATAGAGAAATTGGAGCAACCCCCTCAAAGGACAGGGGTATCTATCAAGATATTGCAACGTTGGATGTGATAAATTAATTAGCAGCGACCAGGATTATATATGCATATATATATATTTGATATATTAGATGATAGACTATTTATTCTAATAAATTCGGGTTGTTGTTTCTGTACTCTGCTTAAATTCTCTTCGCATGCTCTCTCTTTCTTGCTATTCATGTTGTATCCTTAGCTTACGATTGGCATTCTTTGTGGTAAATGATAGATATTTACTTCTTGATATGATTATATTAGTCCTATAAAGTACTACGTTGGTTCCAATTAAAGTTCAAACATCACAAGCACATTACAATGATCTAATAATCCAACCCACCTTTTGTGGAAAATCATTTACTGGGGACAAATCATTTGCTAGCAGCATGCCGTTATTATTTTGCAAATAGAAGAGTTGCTTTCTGCTTTTTCTTTCTATATTGTTTATCAACTAAATTTGTTCAATCAGTCGTCAAGCCAATAAATCAAGAAGGTACTTTTCAATGTAATAAGGCGGATTTGAAAACATTTTGAATGACTTAAAAATTTAGAATTACCCTATGTTTAGTATGAGGGAAATAGAAGGAAGAGGAGAAAAAGTTTTCACGAGCTCGATTTGGAAAATTAAAGAAGTAGGGTCATAAAATTTTAATAAAAGGAAAATATAAAATAAAAGAGTAATAAAAATTAATTAAAAGTTTTTAAGTCTACTTATCTAATTTTTTATATCAAACTCATCAAAAATTTCCCTACCATTCCCTCCCGTCCATTTCTCTCATACCAAACAAATCATTAGTTAAAAAAAAAAGTAAGGTTATTGGTTGTTATTGTCAGTAAATTAAAAGGGAGCAGGAATTAAATAAATAACCATGGTTGAAGCACCCCAGTTAAAAAGATGGAAGTTAACAATCTCCCCTCATTCGAGGAATATGCTTGGGTAGATGGATTTTGTAATTTTATTTTGCCAACAAAGAACACTTTATAAAATGAAGGAATTAGATAAAAATTTGTACAAAATTAAAAGATTAAAGGTAAACTTTTATCAGAATATTTTCATATTCTTAGTATGAGACTGATTTGAAATTTTGAAATTAGTATTTTTTTTAGATTTTTCTTAAAAATCAAAATTATGTAGTGTGCTTTGATTATTATTGGCCCATAGAAAAAAGTACACATTATATATAGTCCAACCAAACTTTTGACTAGTCAGTGCATCATTCACTAAGCGCATATGTGTGTGTGTGTATATGGGTGTCTGTATATGTAGAATTAAGAGAAATAACTCCAAAGATTATGATCCATATTCCACAAAAATCGTTTTCTCATAAAATAATAATCAAGACTACTGTGACATCACATATACAAAGTATGTTTGAAAGTTGGAAAAAAATATTGCGTGGTGGAGACAATATATTATTAAAGCTGTGTTTGGAATGGTGATCCTCTGAAAAAGATGGTAAAGAGATGAAATAATTTTAATAATGTCAACATGATTTATATTTTTTAAATGAAATAATCCTTATTTTTCATATAAATTTATTCTATTTAATTTGTATTCCAAACGTCATCTAATTTCGTGATGGTAATTGCATTGATAGATACGGAAGAAAATTAGTGGAGGAGACCATTTTTTTTGGTGACTTTCATAAAATTGAGCTCTCCATGAAATAAGGATTATTCACTAGATGGGGCCCACCACTTGGAAATTTATCTCCTCCTGCTTGTGCTCGCTCACCGTAGGTTCCTAGCTGACAATACGCCACTTCCTCATGTCCTTAGTATGTCTTTATATAACAAATCACAAAAATTTGTTAAGTTACTTATTCATAGTAAATAGATATTAATTTTTTTAAAATATTTTTTTAATCATATATTGGTTATAACTATTATTTACTAAAACTTTTAATATGTGTAACTATTACAAATACTATTTTAAAAAGAATAGATAAATAGGAGAGATAAAATAGATTGTACTATTATATTTATGAAAAAATTAAAAATCAAACTAGTTTTTATATTAAAAAATTTCAAAAAAAGAAAAAATGATAGAAAAATATTTATTAAATTTCAAAATGATAAACATGTGATTTTGATAGATTTTGAGTAGTCAAAACCATTACAAAAATAGTCAACAAGATCTATTTATCTTTTTAAAATTTAAAAGATCTATTTATTTATTAAATTTTAATTTACATTGATTATATCCATCCTTAGTCATCACATATATGTATATAATGCACACAAAAAAATCTTACAAAAATTACTTTGTAACATTAAACAGCACTTTGAAAAATCATAAAAATACATTATATAACTACCGGATTCAAATATAGGAGTCCACCATAAATATTATTTTATTTGATCTCTGATTCTAAATATTGAATTTAGATAACTAATTTTAAAAAAATTAAAAATATATTTATAAGATTTAAGGAAGACAGTGACTTTTTTTGATCGGCTAGAGTCTTTTGTGATTTTGTTTTAATTCCAAATTCGTAACCCCACGCGCCACGGAGCGGGATGACCACGGTCAAAAAGTACACATTTATATTTTTATAGTCCAAATAAACGGTTGACTAAACTGTATTAGACTATTTGTGGAATTAAGAGAAATAATTCAACTTACCAACTTCTTGTAATTTTTCATTTTCGTGACCTGTCCTCATTTCAATTACATCAAGTATCACTTGTGTTCAATCTTTTTGAATTGAAGAAATTATAAATGGTTTTGAATTTTTCAACTATCAATTACTTGTTGAATTTTAAAATAATAAATAAATGGTTTTGACAGATTTTGACTCAGTATTACTTATTTATCATTTTAAAATTTAACTGGTATTTTTTTTCGTGTTTTCCAAATTAAAGTGCATGTAATTGTTTACCTCAGAAAAAGTCTCTGTGATTTTTTTGACTTAGAGACATTGGGCATGGTGCCTCTAGATAGAGCCCACCACCTTGAAAATTCTCCGTGCTTTGTGCTCGGTAATATATGCCCCGGGAGCGACACATTTTGGAATTTATTTATTAATTTTTAATTCATATTATATCCACCATTTTCATTGCATGCATATACTGAATATTACTTTAATAAGCTGAAATTTTTTTTAAAAAATCACTTCATTACATTAAACAGAAGTTTAGAAATTTTGTATAAATCTTTGGCTATTATAGTTTTAATAATGTCAGCATGATTTGCATTTTTTGCTATTTTTTAAAAGTAGAAAAATGGAATATTCATTATTTTCATCTAATTTAATATCCTTTCATGTCTATCTAATTTGTATACCAACACCTAACTTCGTTGATAGATATAGCAATGGAAAATTGGAGGACTTTAACTAATAAAATAGAGCTCTTCATGAAATGACGAATATTCAATAGAGAGGGATAGTGCTCCCCACTTGGAAATTTCTTCCTCCCTTGTGCTCAGACACAGTAGGTCCCTGTATAACGATATCTTTCAAAGGAAGCAAACACATTTTGAATTTTTATTTATTAAATTTTCATTCACACTAATTATATCCATCATTTTACTACTTCAACACACACAAAAACTGACAGAATAAATCGCTTTTTGACATTGAAAAGAAGTTTGATATATAAATTATAAAATACATATCATATCGTAATAAATTTGATTTCATAGTTGTTATATATTTACGTCACATTTTCATATATTACATGGATATTTACGTTCACTTTTCCTCTTTACAAATTATTTTCTTTTCAATTTTTTTGTCATTTATATATAAAAATATTTCAAAGTTTATCTTTATTTTTTGATACATCAAGGTTTATCTTTATGGTCAGCCAATGATGGGAAGAACCGATCAGGCCTGGAACTACAAGTACTAATTATTTAGGATTATTGTAATAACTAATAAATCCAGTTGAACGACCAACCTCTAATATGTTTAAAAATGAAAACAAGACTAATTTGAAATTTTAAAATTAGTATTTTTTTGAGATTTTCGTTAAAAATTCAAAATTATGTAGAGTGTGCTTTGATTATTATGGGCCAATGGAAAAAAGTACACATTATATATGGTCCAAACAAACTTTTGACTAATCAGTGCCTCCTTCACTAAGCATGCATATATATATATATATGGGCGTCTGTATATGTGGAATTAAGAGAAATAACTCCAAAGATTATGATCCATATTCCAC